CTAAGCCAACGCCGTATCGCACAGTAAAAATGGACATGTTGCCACTGAATATAATATACCAATGGTAAAATATTGCATAATTATTAGAATTTGTACCAATGACTCTTTCATAAGTCTTTCATGTACAAGGTATCAAGATTATGCATAAGCATAATTAATTGTAGATGGACGAAATTGCCCTTTATTGTTAATTAAGCTTACATCGACCATTAAATGCTTCTCATTAAGGTTCATTAATTCGGTTCATTAATTCTGAGTCCACAGTCCTCTTTTCGCTGCTGAGCATAATCGGACACCGGACACCGTGTCCGGTGGGTTATAAATTTTTTTATTTTGTTTTATTAACTAATTCCATTTTAATTGTGTATTTAAAATCCGTGTTAGACTATAATCCGTGTCAGTTTATAATCCGTGTGTCATAAATTTTTTTTAAGTGTTATTAAAAAAATCATTGAAGTGTTATAAAAAAAATTAATCCATTATAATCCGTGGGTCATAAAAAATCATTGAAGTGTTATTAAAAAATTAATTTTTTTAGAACATATATAAATGTTGGTTTAATTTTAATATAATTTGAATTTTTAAAATCATTAATAAAATTTGTTTAAGTGTTTGAAATGTTTGAAGTGTTAGACTATAATGAAGGATAATAATAAAATTTATTAGAAAATCAAAGTATTAATCTACTCAACGAAATACATCAATTGTTTTTTCGATCCTAATTAATTGTTCTTTCTCCGGTGGCAACAAAAGGGCATTTTCGGCAATCCAACTCCCAAAATTACTGTTTGGGAGTGGATATAGCAAACGTGATGCTTGAGATATTTCTTAAAAGCTGGCAGACAAGTATTTCCTCCATGTTCACTGAATGTCATGAAAACAACATTATATGTTGTTGCAATTACGTGACCGCAATCCGGTACCGCCATCCAGTAATCATCATCCGCTGGTCCATGGTAGTGAGCAATCGATTGGATGAGATTAGTCACATTAGAACTCCTCGCACTCCTCCCACCTAAGATTCGAGCGTACAAGGCGCTTCTATTCTGTAGATCTGCTACTAAGTCTTGTCTAACTTTAACCCAATCATCTTCTGTTCCGTAAATTGCTAGAGCCACCGCTCTAAATCCACAATTTCCGTCTGCCGCTACATCTGTGCATTGATCTATGTATTTTCTAATGTAGGGCGGGAATTCTCTCTCAAATACAGAATTCTTAAAGATGAACGTGGTGCCTTTGGAATAAGGGGTTGACATTGGAGGCCTTGAGCACGGAGGATTTGGAGAAGATGGTGATATTGGTGGCCCCGTACATTGGGATGTGCTCATTGGACTCCCCTGTGATTCAGAGATAGAAGCAACACGTCCAGGGCCCTTTACAAATGCATAGGTTGACAATGTTAAATTGAGAATAATAAATTAGTAACTAATATAAATCATAATTTTCAAATATAGAAATTCATAAGTTATGTAGTATTACCTTTTTGTTTGGAGACTTTTTAAATCCGTACTGTTTCACAACCCTCTCCCACGCCGAAGGTACACGGAGACTAGAGAGCTTTTTACCCTTGGTTTTCTTTTTAGCAGTAGGAGGTGCAGTAATATCAGGGACTTCTTCGAACAACGCCCTCCTCACTGGATTTGGTGGAGTCGGGGATCCATCCGCGGCATCATTAGGAAATATTGGAAACTGAATATCTAACTTTTTCCAATAATCATGTATTTGATCCAACGGAATGCTATACCCATTTATGATGTAGTACTGAAGCTCATGTGCGCACGGTAGACCATGAGTTCTCCTTAGGTAGCAACCACACGTTGTTGGATCCTGACCCATTTCTTGTAAAACTTGCATTTCTTTCCTTATGAGGCCGAATGCTTTAAACGTGATTGATCTGTTCAGATTAACAAACAACGTATCTCCAAGGGTGTCTGTGTTGGATTTAGTAGCGTTAACTCTCGCTACTTTCTTAATCTCACAGATTTGGCCTTCCATCACCTTGTGAAGTTTCTCCAGTACGGTATCGAATGGGTACCGACCACCATCTAAATGTCGTTTGACGCGATGATGTTCTCCTTCGACCCTGCATTACCAATTGAACTTGAATATTAATTATTAATGTTGACTACATGTAACGATTATTTAGTCACGTAAATCTCACAAGGCTTACCTATTTGTTGTGTAGCTTCCGAAGTGAAAATAATGGTCGATGTAAGCTGACAGGATTTTTTGGGAATGCGGACTAATCCATGTGTCAATGCAGTAGTTCAGCAATGCTCCCCAACTCGAGTAATGTGCTGCCAGACGTCCCCATCTATCATTAAAGTCATCTATGGTCGGTGCACTTATCGCCCAATTCCAACGAAATTTAAATCCTTCTGCCGCCTCTTTTAAAAAACCAGGTTGCTGCAGTGCTCGTTGTAGCACGCATTGCTCAATGTGACGGCGACACAAATGATGCCTGGATTCCGGGAAAACATACTCGACAGCATGCATCAAGGCGTAATCTCGGTCTGTTACAATGACATTAGGTGTCACTTGGCTAACGAACAAAGTACGGATAAACTGTAACACAAACCTGCAAAATAATATAACATTAATAATTTTAAATTTAAACGTAGGACAAAATAACTGTACTAAATAATTGTCAATTGTAATTTATAACAACAAATTAACATAATAACAATATTAATGACAATACTACAATAACAATGTTAATAACAATAATAATACTATAATAAGTCCTAATTAAACAATATAATAATTTTCATAACAGTAACAACTCCTAATAATACTATAATAAGTTCTAATTAAACAATATAACAATAAAAAAATAACAATATAATAATGTTCATAAAAATAATAACTCCTAATTAAACAATACTAATAATGTTCAATAAAAATAATAACTCCTAATTAAACAATTCTAATAATGTTCATAAAAATATTAACTCCTCCTAATTAAACAATTCTAATAATGTTCATAAAAATAATAACTCCTAATTAAACAATACTAATAATGTTCATAACAATATTAACTCCTCCTAAATATTCAATTTAACATTATTCATAACATTGACAAACAATTGTACTAAATAATGTTAATTAACAATTTTAAATTTAAACATATGACAAAAATTAAAATTCATTAAGACACAAACCTGTAGTTTTCTTGTCTCTCATTTCGCATGAATGCGTAGGCGATAGTGAACATTTTGTCCGTACTTGTTGCACCGACCACTTCTAGTAGAGGCATGTCATACTCATTGGTGTTGTACGTACAATCAATCATCATGACTTCCGGATATGCATTCACAATCACAAAAGAAGCTGGGTGGCAGAAAACAAATATCTCCAAGTTCGGAAGATTCATCAGCAGTCCGAACGTCGTACATGTAGTTCAATTGCCTGAGTAAATGGATGAAATTATTCATCGGGGTCCGACCTTCTCTTTTCTGGGCACGCACCTTACTGACAGCATTGTAAACTTGTTTCTGACACGATTTGTTCTCCGGATCAGCCCTTTTCATGGACGCCAACATATTACTCGGGCTTAAATTAAAATTCTCTTGCTCCCTAATAACTTCAAGTTGAATAGGGGATATTTTACCTAAACGAGATCCCACAGCATGAGACGGGAATGGATGGTTGTGTCTCCCCTCCCGGACTTCAAAGTACCAGCGCCCTCCAGGGTACTCCATTCCGTCCAACCAAAATGGACAATTATTTTTTGTCGTTTTAGTGGACCTAGTTCCAGTAACCTTTTTTGGTCTGTATCCGCCACCTTGGCTACATAAATATCGAACTTTGGGCCGTCGGCCGTCTTTTCCCTTCGAATCACGAATTGCCAAAGTAACGTTCCTCAAGCCAGCAACATATCTTACATGAGCATCCATGTCCTCTCTACTAGCAAAACCTCCTTCCGGATTAACGAAATCGGTTGAAATGTCTTCAAACTCTACATATGAACTATGATCCTAGAATGGATCACTTTGTGTTTCGTCAATGACGAATTCAACTTCATCAAGATTTATGGAGTTGTAATCTCCAGAATTCATATTGTTTGTGATTGTAATTGTAAGTGTTTGAGTTGTGAGTGTTTGAGTTGTGATTGTGATTTGAAAAACTTAAACTGTTGGCCTTTTTATAGGTAAAAATCTAAGAGGTCAAAATCAATTTTGACATTTTGAGTGCTCAAATCAAATTAGTAAAAAATTCTGAGTGGTGTAATTTATTTTTGAAAAAAACGATTTTTGAAAAAAACGATTTTTGAAAAAAACGATTTTATGTAATTTGTGTAAATTGTATTGGAAATGAAAATTGTATTGGAAATGAAAATTGTTATAAAAATTCTGAGTGGTGTAATTTAGAAACATATCCCAAGAAACAAATCCGGTTAGTGCTAAAATCGAGTATTAATTACGTTGCATTTAATAACACAACATATCCCAAGAAACAAATCCGGTTAGTGCTAAAATCGAGTATTAATTACGTTGCATTTAATAACACAAATGTATTTAATAACACAAGGGCAACAAAAGGGTATTTTTGGCAATCCAACTCCCAAAATTACTGTTTGGGAGTGGATATAGCAAATGTGATGTGAACTGTTCTTTAACAAAAACAAAGACGCGTATAACATTTCATACCTTTCCGTCTTTTTTTATTTTTTTGAAAACAGAACTGCTCCCCGTGCTCCTATGAAACTTCTTTAAAACCTTTTGTCAGATAAAATAAAGGGAAAAATAATCGTATGAAAGCAATAATATTGTAATAAACATGATAGTAAGCGTTGCAAGAGGATCACCAAACATTTCAATATAGTATCACTACCCAGTATCATCACTACATTGAACTAAAGAGCTAAACTAGATGAACTATTATCAGATTGGAAAATTAAACCTCCGGATTGCATAATCTAATCAAAACAAAAGACACTTTTGGTTATAATGAGAAACATTCTGCGAGAAAATGCATTCACTAAAACACAGCAATTAGCATTGCAAGAGGAACATAGATTTTTTAGATACAAAATCGCAGCTACAATAATGTAAAACATCCAGCTGCATACCACCACAGTGTTATGAATTAACTTCATCATATTGGACACGTAAGGATAAGTAACAAACTTTCGCGCTAGACATCACATTACGCAAGGGCGATCAGGCTCATTCCAGTCTGTTCTAAACAAGTCTTTAAGACTAATCTAACGAGCACGCCTTTCGCTTATTGCTGGAGAAAACCTTAGTCAGTGCAGTTTCAGAGCACAACGCAGCTTTCAACAGATTTAAAGCCTACAACCAGAAGAACAATAGCATTTACCCTCAAATAGTTATTGAAGACAAGTCATCAGATGAAGAAAGTATATTAATTACCTGCGTCTCTCCGATGCCAACCTCCTCCTCCACGAGATTACTGATGGAAACTCCAAATTCGTTGATTATACGAACTGTAGAGAATGGAGATACGAGAGCCACATCCAAGTCATCTGTAACCATGAACTTACACTGTCCCTTTGCATATCCTCCCCCTGGTTCGGTCATTTTGTTTGGGAATTTCGGGTTCAATTCCTTAAGTGTAGCGATATACAGCCGATGGCCGCAACTGAATCCGTTTCTGTAACATGTGAAGCATCTCGCGCTTGTAGAGTCTACACGAGAAACCAACTCCCCAATCTTTAACAGCTGCGTTTTGACACCGCAAAATGGAGCCAACTTAGGACCTAACAGCATTGTCTTACATTCCTCAGACTTGATGCAAAGATTTTCTTGTGAGCTCAAAACCTCAGCGCTTCCGTACAAGTTATCAGCACATCCCATGGATGAACTCTTATTAAGCAGTTTGATTACGGCACCAAGGGGAAAGGTGAGGAAACTGAATAGGAAGTCTAAAACCTCCTCATCACACTCCATGTAAACAATTTTACGATTAGTCTTTGTCAATAGCAATTTTGCTTTCAGTTGCTCACCGTCAGAATTCCCATCCTCTTCACATTTGGGAACCAGTTGAAATATACCATCCCTATTTGGTACCTTCCCATTGCTTGGCATAGAATTATCGAAGCACAAGTCAGTCAGAGGAGTGCTTGAGATCAATGATCTTTCAAGCAACTTTAAGATCTGAAAACCATGAAATAGGGTGAAGAGACAAGATAGCACCGTAAAAGCAATTAACCTAAGAAATTACTTGTTAAGAAAAAAAAATTATATTAATCTAACTATTGATGTTTTGATATTGTCTGCTTAAACTTTCTTATAAAAGATATATTGTCTGCTTAGTAGTGATGGGTATCCTGGTAAGCTGCTCACTAGCCCCTCTCCGGCAATTAGAGAACACTGATGAGATACTTATAGTTAGTTTATCTCTAGAGTGGGTACATAATAGACAGTAGTGATTTCACCTCATCATGGCCAATATCCATAATTCTCTCCTCAAGCATGCTACCATCTTTTATCCCTTTCTTGCTAAAAAGAGATAAAATAACCGCTGTAGAAGCCAGCGTTATATGCAATTCATCGCTTACAATAAACTTAATGCCTCCCCTGACGAAAACCCCATCTCCAGCTGCATTCATGTTTTTCTTTGGCCATGTTCCAGCGTAGCTCATTTCCTTTCCGCAGGAGCACCGGACGTTAGGAACAGAGCTAAAATAACAGGTGGCGCTTTGGAGCAGCAATCTGATTCCGGACATGTGAAGGACGTTCTTGGGTTAATCTTATCGTTATCGTCAACGTTAAACTGCTAAATTCTCGCAGAGGCGCCTCGCCGCATTCAGGGGATTAAGCAGCATTGACTTGCAGGCCTCGGTCTGAAAGTGCTGGCTGTCGAGACCCTCAACGCTCTTGTACAAATTACCAATGCATCCTAATGACGAATCTTTTCCGACGAGTTTGACGACGGTCCCCATCGGCATTGTCAGAAAACTTAGCAGGATATCAACGAAATCCTCGTCCGATTCAGCCATCACCACTCGAGACTGCTGCTTGTCGACCAGAAGCTTCAGGCTTATCTTCTTGTTGCTGGCCACCATGGTGCACGAGAGTAGACTTTTCTTATTACGGTATACCATTCACTGGCCAAGTAGTACTCCAGTGAAGGCTGGCCAGGGTTGGTAAACGACCGAACCGAATCGAATCGAATCGAATATCACAATATCCGAATTCCAGTTCGATTCACGTCGTGATATTGGAATTCGTGCTCGAATTCGACCCGAATACTAAATTGAATTCAAATTCAGTTCGTTTACCTACACTGCCATTCGTCAATCGTTCGTGGGTATTCGAATTGAACCCCTCCGACAATCTCATCGCCATACCTAGAAAGGCTTCCGCTCGTCGAACACATAAGATGATTTGAGGGCAGAGAAACCCTAATCGTCAAATGTTCGGAAGCGAGATCCTCGTCGTCAGCACCTTCTGATCAGCGCTCCACCCCTCGAACGCGACATGAAGAGTATGAGTCAGGAGTTGCTATGTTGGAGAGGGCGGCGGCTTTGATAATTGGGGCGGAAACATGAGACGAGGAAACCGTCATCTCATGAACAATTTTTCAAAACAGCTCCGTTTCAATTTTTTTTTTAAAAGCGACCGATTTTTTTTTATTTACCAAAACCGACCCGTTTTGTGCAACGTCAGCTTAATCACTTTCCTAAACAGTCGGGGTTGCCAACCCCGACTATTTAGGAGGGTGTTAAACCCCAATTAGAAGCCTTAAACCCTAAAAAATTATGTACTAAACAGTCGTGGTTGGTAACCCCGACTATTTAGGAAAGTGATTAGGCTGACGTGGTAAAAAACGGGTCGGTTTTGGTAAATAAAAAAAACAGTCGATTATAAAAAAATAAAATAAAACGGGGCTGTTTTGAAAAATTGTTCCTCATCTTATTGAGTTATTTATTGTGGTTGTATGAGCCTAGAGTGTAGACTTTAAAATGGGCCTACAGTATTAACTTATATAAGTTGTTGTGGTTGTATGGGCCTAGAGTGTATTACAATGCCATGTTCATCAAGTTTGTTTCTAAAAACCCATTTTGTACCAATTACACTAGCATTGTTAGATCTAGGAACTAAATTCCAAACTTCATTTCTTTAAAAATTGTTTAATTCTTCATGCATAACCAAAACCCAAAATTCATCATTCAAAGCATCATTAACCTTTTTAGGTTCTAGTTGAGATAGAAATGCAACATTTCCACATTCACTCAAGGCTTTTGAGCGAGTTATAACTCCTTTTGAAGGGCTCCCAATGATTTGTTCCTTTGGATGATTTGATGTGAATTTCCAAGCTTTAGGTGGTTCAACTTGATCTTGAGCGTTTGTGCTATCCACATCCTTTTGAACTTCTATAGAGGGAGTGTCATTGATTTGCAAATATATAGTCAATTATTTAAAGGCCGAGCTAAATCCTAAGAAGCCCAAGAGCATTCAAGAGAAGCCGAAGAGTTTTAAATCAATTAAATACAAAAAAAAAATCCACAAAGTCCATCTCTCAACTGTTGAATTAATGGTGTAAATTATTTTGATAGATCCTATAGTTGTGAGGGTTACTTGGGGCTCAAGCCAAATCCTATGGTTGTGAGAGTTAGATGGGGCTCATGATAAACCTAAGGATTATGAGAGATTCTTATTATCTATAAATAAAGGGGTAGAGTAAGGGGTAAGAGTGAAAAATTTTTATAACCTCGTTTTTGGAAAGGAGAACCTTTAATTAGGTCTTCCAATTTGTAAACTTTTAAGTTTACAATAAACAAAAAAAATTCTGCTTTTTTGTTTTTATTTCTTTCTCTTTATTGATGAAGATGAAGATTTGCTTGCAATGGGCCAAGTCCTTGCAAGGTGAGTTTTCATTTTTCTCTCTTATTTTCTTATTTTAGACATTCATGTTTTAGGATTTTATTTTATTTTATTGATAGATTAGATTTATTTCATACATTATAGTGTAGATTTACTTTCATGCTCTTTTGTTTTTGCTGTTTATTTTTATGCTTTGTAGAATTTATTTTCTTATATTTTTTATAGTGTAGATAAAATAAAAGCGAACAATGATAATAAATCATAAATAACAACCAAGCAAGGACACACAAAATTTTATAGTGGTTTGGGTAACAATCATATGTCACTCCTTCCTTGTCCCAAAGGGGCTTCCCACTATGCAAGAGTTCTCATGAATCACAACCCGATTCAGTAGACTTACAAAGATCGCATCCTAATATATATCCGAAACCAGTTATCCAACTAACTCTCCACAATGAGTAAACACCTAGTCCTAATTATTCCCAGCCCTTAATTAATATCGGCTTGAGTTTATGCCGTAAAAAAAGTTTGAAATGCAAATAATCAAACACGATTAAGCACAAAAAATATGAAAGATCTCACAGCCCTTTTGATAAACAAACCATCCTTTGATGAATCCAAATGTAGCACGATGAAGAACGATGTAGATGATGAATCCAATGACAACTCTCCTCGCTGAAATGATCCAGAGATATTGTGAGCGACGAGAAAGAGTTTTTCGAGACTCTAGTGGTCAAAAACATCAATATAACTTTTCTTCAATCAAAACCCTGGAACGCTCTCTTCTCTTTAGACTTTGGGGGTCAAAAACATCAATATAACTTTTCTTCAATCAAAACGCTGGAACTCTCTCTTCTCTATCTCCTTTAATGATATATAGCATTTAATTGATTAGGAAACAAATATTCTGAATATAGTAGAGTTTGAAGATCAAAAGGAATGATAAACAACTATGATTAAAACTTCAAATTTGCCATCAGTAAACTTTACCATTGATGGTTACTGTTTGTGAAAAAATTCAATGTAAAAGAAATGAAAGAAAAATGGATTTGTATTCTCTCAAAATCGATTACAATTTGGATTTCGATTACAAAAGAGATGAGAATGAATTTGATTCTCCCCTTTGTTTAATTTTTGGGTTCTTCTTGGTAGCGATGGAGTGCCTCCTTCGATTGCTTGCGTCGAACTTGCTCTCCGTTGACGATCTGACCGTACTATCTCACGAGAACGATTGACTTGTATGATGAATCCGGTTTAGAACTCTAAACAAGTTTAAGAAACTCAGAACGAGTTGAAAACTCTGAAAAGAGTTGTTGAAAACCGAATAATCGATTAGTGTAATTAACTTGCGTTACAAGTTTAATTAAAAACTCTTAACGAGTTTAAGCACTCAGAACGAGTTGAAACTCTGTAACAGAGTTGTTAGAACCGAAAATTCGGTTAATAGCCAAGTTGATCCGCTGTTGGTGAAAGGATTCTCTGAGATTTGATTAACTGACTGCCGATCAGTTTGTTGATCTTCAGGAAAATCGCCTTCTCCGTGCGGTTTAGCTGCCGAAAACCGATCCCCCTTACTCAGTTAAGTAATACGGTTATTTATAGGGGGATAAGGGGTGTAACCAACCCCTAAATCCGCTCCTATGTGGGTGAGAATCCCTCAGAACGTGGGATAAACGGTTATGAGGCCGTTCAGCTTGTGTTTGAACAAGTCAAACGCCTAACTTGGCGTTCTGGGCCTTAATTCTGCGCCTAAGTGATGCGGCATAAACATGTACCAAAAAGGTTGCAAGTGCACAACCGTGTCAAGTTATAGTATTTAAGATATCGATCCCACGAGGAAGGTGTTTTATAGGAGAAAATATAAAATCGGTTCTTATTTCGTGTGCGTGACAAATAGGAGTGATAAGTGAATGTGATTGTGAAGAGATTGAGAGAGTGAAAATGGTGTGTAAATAGATGCAAAGTGTAAGTGAGAGTGGATTTGAAAAAGAATGAGTATGATCAATAAGGTGAGAAGGAAAAAATGAATAAAATCAAGAAACAAATGAAAAATCAAGAATGAAGAACAAAATTCAAAAATAAAAGAAAATGCAAGAAATTAAAGATGATGGATTCAATTATAGATATGGATAATCTAAAATTGAACTCACTTCTTAGAAAATGGTGATTCCCTAGAGGGTTCTAGCCTAAAGGCGAATCAAACAAAATAAAAATAAACAAAAAGAAAAACTAAACCCAAGAGGGTTCTAGCCTCAATGTGAATAGTATAAGAAATTAAAATCTAACTACAAAATAAATTGCAAAATCTAAACTACAAAATAAAATTGCAAGAATTAAATGTAAGAAAATAAATCTACTCTATAAGCATGAAATAAATCTAAGGCAAGAGGGTTCTAGCCTCTTGGCTATTTAACAAGAAAATAAAATCTAACTACAAGCATAGAAATAAATCTAAACTAATAAGCAATAAAAAAGAAAAAGAAAGAAATGCAAACCTTTCAAATAATTCTCCATCTTCATCTTCATCTTCATCATCCAACAAAGAGAAGAAGAGAAAAATTTAAAGTGGTGAAAAAATTATTATTATTAATTGCAACAAAAGTTACAATTTTGGAAGGCCTTCTCAATTAAGAGTAGCCCTCCTCTCCAAAAGTTCTTTTGATTTTCACAACAAAGCTAAGTCCGGCCCAATGCTTTTGAATTTCAAAATTAAAGTTTGCAGCAATGGTCCGGTTCCCATTCAAAATCTTCAGCCCATGTTGTGATTTTCAGCTGCAGCATTCAAAACAAATCCGGCCCTTGAGTCTGCACACCATGATTTCAAACCAATCCCAGTCCGGTCTTGATTTCTAATCTTGCTGCAGGAAAGTCCCCAGCCCAATCCTCATTAGGCCCAATCATACTTCATTTGAATTTGAACTTTAAAAAC